ACATTACTAAATCAATTCTTATTCCTCATCTTATTTGACTTATCAGTATAATTTGGAAAACTAAATACACCCAAATTTGATTTTTTCATGTATGGTGTGAATAAGGGGTCAAGATTAATTTTTTTCCCAAATGGGTAGCCAACTGATTCAACACCATTTATTTAAAAGTAATCTTTTCCAGGCTGCATTACCATATTTGTCACAAATCAAAACCCCACAATGTGTGTGAATCTGTTTTTGAACTTTACCATTGTTTTATTATCCTATTTGTCAGGCTTTGAACCAATATCACCCTAGTTTAAAATTATAACTATAGTTTGTAATAAGTCTTTATATCTGGGAAGAGTAACTTTTTTTTTTTTTTTAAGTAGGCTCCATGCTCAGCGTGCAGCTTGAACTCATGATCCTGAGATTAAGACCCGAGCTGAGATCAAGAGTCAGACACTTAACTGACTAAGCCACCCAGGCACCCCTAGGAGGAGTAACTTCTGTAACATGGTTCTTATTTTTCTGATTGTCCTGACTAATTTGGGCTCTTCCTTCCTTTCCTTTTTTTTTTAAGATTTTTTTTTTTTTTTTTTAAGTGATCTCTACACCCAAACCAGGGCTCAAACTTACAACCCTGAGATCAAGGATCACATGCTCCACTGAGTCAGCGAGGCACCCCTAGGCTTTTTCAATTTTTATATAGATTTTATAATCAGTGTGTCATTTCAACCAAAGAGAAAAAAAACCTGCTGGGATTTTTACTGTGATTTCACTAAACCTATAGGTCAATTCAAGAAATCTAACATCTTAAAAATACTGAATCTTCCAACCCATGAACAATAGTATATACTTCCATTTATTTAGGTCTTCTTTTCCTCTGTAGTATCTTTTTTCTATGCAGTTTTTTTTTTTAAAGATTTTATTTATTTATTCATGAGAGACAGAGAGAGAAGCAGGCTCCCAAGGAGCAGGGAGCCCGATGTGGGACTCGATCCCAGGACCCTGGGATCATGACCTGAGCCGAAGGCAGACGCTTAACCATCTGAGCCACCCAGGCTCCCCTCTATGCAGTTTTCTATGCAGAGTCATACACATCTTTTGTTAGACTGATCCCTACATATTTGATCTTTTGTTGATATAAATTTAAATTGTTATTTCAGTTTTTGTCAATGCTGCTTTATAAAAATACAACTATGTACTGACTTTGTACCAAGCAAACTTGCTACAGTCACTTATTCCTCCTAATAGTTTTCTAAGTACATAATCATGTCATCCATAAATGATAACACTTATATACTTCTTCTTTCCTAATCCTTATATCTTCTCTTTCTTTTCCTTGAATTATTGTACTGAAAACTACAAACTCCAAAACAATATTGAATAGAAAAGGTAATAAATGATATCTCTATATACTGGTCTTTCCATGACTTTTCTCCTTTATTCTATTAATACAGTGAATTACAATGACTGGTTTTTGAATGTTAAGCCAACCTTATATTTCCGGGAAAATACAAATTGGGTCAAATATATTTTTTCCTATAAATTGCAGATTTAATTTGATAGTATGTTACTCAGAATGTTTCATCTATATTTGTGAGTGATAGTGGCTATAATTTCCTATTCTTGTCATATCCTTGTCGGGTTTTAGTATCAAGATTATGCTGGCTTTACATAATAAGTTATGAAGTATGTCCTTTTCCTTTATTCTCTAGAAGAGTTTGTTTGTGGGTGAAATTTTAGTTTGACATTTATTTTTTTCCATCACTCTGAAGCTATCTTTCCTTTGTCTTCTAGCTTCTTAGTTTCTGTTGAAAACGAAACAGAATCTGTTTCTGGCAATCTCATAGCTGTTCCTTTGAAGGTAATAATTTTCTTTCTCTCTCACTACTTTTTTTCCCTTTTCACTTTTTTTTTTGTAAATAATTTATTTATTTTACTTTTCCACTTTGGAAAAGAGCTTATTCTCAAGTTTAAAATGCTCCATATATATATTTTTAAGTTTTTATTTAAATTTGTTAGTTAACATACAGTGTAATATTAGTTTCAGGTGTACAATATGGTGAATCAACACTTCGATACATCACCGGTGCTCATGACAACAAGCGCACTTCTTAATCCCCATCTTCTATTTCACCCATTGCCCCAATCCCCCCACCTGCCCTCTGGTAACCATCAGTTTGTTCTCTATAGTTAAGAGTCTGTTTCTTGGTTTGCTCCCTCTTTTTTTTTTCCCCCTTTGTTCGTTTGTTTTGTTTCTTAAATTCCACATATGAGTGAAAGCATTTCTCTTTGATTTTGGTTTTCAGTTATACTATGCTAATACACTGTGATTTTCTTTTAATGTTACTGTACTTAAGATTCATAATCCTTCTTGAATCTGTACCTTAATGTGCTTTATCAAGCTTTAGAGATAACTTGATCATCTTTTCAAAGACTACTTTTACTCTAATTTCCCATTCCTTTCCTGGGACCCTAAAGACCTTTTCAACACATCTGGTGCCAGATTAAGGATAGAAGATTGACATTTTTGACCTTATTCCCTTTGACAAGTGGGATCTATGTCCCCTGTGCATGCATCTGGGCAAGCTGTGTCACACAGCTGATAAAAAGAATATGAAAATGTGATGTTGCGCCAGTGTCCATGCCCATATCGTCAGGGACCAGGTGTTCCCATACTTCCTCTCTCTCTGAATGCTTGCTCTGGGGCAAGACAGCAGCTGTCATGGAAGAGGTCCAACTCCTGTGACACTGCCATTTATGGAAAGAAAGAAATGCTGGCCAGCCCCAGAAATTCCAGCCACCCTACCCTGGCACCAGATATAAGAGCGCAGAAGTCATCTTAGATGTTCCAGCCCCAGGAGAGGACATGTGGAGAAAAAACAAGGCCCCAGATATACAGACCTCGTGGAGCCATCCCAGCTCTCTCTAGCTGTTTGAACTACCCTAGTTGAAGATCAAAACACTGTGGAACACAGACAAATTGAAGCAGATATGCTGACTAAATTCCTGACCCTCAGAATCATGAACATAAAAAAAAAAAAAAGCTCTTGTTTTATGCCAGTAAGTTTGGAGTCATTTGTTACTACTGGGAGCAGTAATCCTCCACAGAGGACACTCCTGAGTGTCCCTGCACATTCTTGCTGGGTGTGACAAGAATCCCAAGCTCTGACCAGGTCCTTATCCAGGCCATTTCTTGTGTTTGCAGCTAGCAACCTTGAGGGATAAGTAACATCTTTTTCTGGGACAAAGAGCAGTATTACTGTAAAAGGGGTATATTCCCCAAGTTCGCAGAGGTAATGCAAATTCACTGTGTGCACAGTATCCACATAAAACCCTCCGTGTTGCCACTGCAGGATGTGCTGGGGCTAGAAGAACTGACATAATATTATGTTCATGTTGCTTGCTATGCCATGAATAATAAAGTCATTTGTCTCTGACCTAGAAGTCTTGTGTCTTCCGCCAGCACCCAGGAAGCAATTACAGGCTAATTTATTTGTTAACTTATAAGGTAAAATCTTAAGATTCTTCACGATTCTTGACAGATACAGAGCAACTGACAACTAGAATATATTCTATATGTCTTTTCTATCTTTTGCTTATATTTCATTCTAAATTATTTCCTTCTGACCTAATATCCCAATCCACTAATTCTCTCTGCATTTTGGTCTTATTTGCTGTTAACACCATCTCCAATGAGTTCTTATTTAAGGTATGTTATTTTTCAGTCTTAAATTTCCATTTCTTTTTTTTTTTCTTCACAATTTGCAGTCCTCTACTGAAATTATTAATCAGGTCTTTTTTCCCCATCAGCAAATTATGTTTAGTTATTTTGAAGCTCATGTAAAATAATCCCATCATTAGAATTTCCTATGGATGTTTCTACTGTTGTTTCCTTTTCATTTTTCATCACACTGTCTTATCTCCTTTTGCCTTTTTTATTTTTAATTCAGTGCTTGATATTGCATATGAAAAATTTAGAGGTAATCTGAGACTCAGGGTAATGTTACCTTCCTTCAAAGAGGATTAACATTTACTTCAAGTAGGTGGCTAGAGGTACTGAAGTCACAGATCACCTTGATCTAATCACGGATTGAGACATTTCATAGCTGGGATTTATTTCTAAGGTACAGTACTTTGGGGTTCCAAATGGAGCACAGAGGGTTTACCAGGACCAATGCCCCAACCTTGGTGGGATACCAACAGCTGTTTTTGTTTTTTTAGCCTTAAGTGTCCATCAGAAACTCTGCTCAGCTTCTCATCCACCTTTCCCAGAATTGACAGATGCTACTAAGGGGGAAAGTAGCCCAAATGCCAGATTCATCTCTGTCTTAACAGCATTCTGATATACTCAAATACATGTCTTCCATATTTTGTCCAGTTTTTCTTGTTTTTTTTCTTTTAAATGGAGTGTTAATGCAAATAATTTATCCAACATTTCCAAAAGTGGAGCTCCTCCAAAAACAGATAATGTGTTTACTATTTAAGGGTTTTAGAAGTTCTGTTTTTTCCATTTCCTCCATTGTGGGCCAGACCCACACAATGTTTGTTTTCAAAATATGCATTCTATGAAACATCTTTAAAGGTGGCAGTGTATTTTCAAATAAACCAGGATACACCTTGTTAACTATGAAAATACCTTATAAAATGTCATTTGCACAAAAACATTTTATCTAGAGTAGTGAAGACAAAACATATGGAATAAAACAACTTCAAACACACACACACACACACATATATTTCAAGAAGAAAAAAATGTACCAAAGTAATTTCACATTTAAATTGGAAAGGAGAAGAAAAACTGTATCAGCTTTCATATTTTATACTTTACAATTCTAATTGCCTCTAAGCATTTACCAACATTATCTAGAAATAAAGTGTCATTTATCATGACCCAATGTTTTTTAAAACATTCCAAACATAACTTTTTTTTTCCTTTGAAAAATTGCATAAGTTTATGAAAATCTGAAGTTTACTGAAAGCCTAAGAGAAATACTGTATATGCCAACACTTACCATGAAAAATACGAAAATCAATATATGGATGAGAACCTCTTCTTTCTGATTCAAATCCTGCTCGACTCCTTACACGTACATCTCCTGGACAAAATCAAGAAAAAATAAACTTAGAAGGCTGCCATTTTGGGAAGAAGCTCCCATATGCAACAAAGGTTTATGTGGTATCATACTCATAAGTACTGGCCCACTAAGTACTTATGGAGTAAGTAGTTAACAGCTGATCTATTTAAAGGGATTTACAAATTTTCAATATTGAATTGTATGGCTAGGTGGACTTCTTTTTTTAATCTACCTCTACAATAATAATAATAATTACAATCTAAATTTTAAAGTTAGCATTCGGAAACATGACAAGTATATGACAGTTGAACCTAATATCTTATTATTCACATGGAGTTAAAATCCTCAGCACAAAACTCTAAAAATCCAGAGAGAAAAATATTAAGTGTCTACCCCTTGCCCACCACCATACTAGACTATAAGAGATATGAAAGAAAATACATGACCCATTCTTAAGCACCTTAAAATTTTATGAATGTACAGAAAAATAAAATGTTAAAGATTTTGCCTTAAATGTTTAATTTGATCAATCTTCTCTTTTCTCATTGATAATGGACATACACCCAAGGACTTTAGTTGGGTCTTAAACTTTGGCCTACATAAGCTCAGTATTGTTTCTTCTACATGTATTCATATGAATTTCAGATCTACTTCTCCACACAGCAAAATAACCACTGGAAGCATGTACCAGACACTCTTTTGTGCCTTATAGGCACTATTTTATTTAATTCTCTCAGCAACTCTGGGAGGTAGGCATCTTAGTCCCCATTACAGATGAAGAAACTGAGACTGAGAAGTTAAGTAGCCTGCCCATGCCATAAAGCTAGTAAAGGGTGAGTCAGGATACAAACCTACTCTGTGGACTCCAAAGACAGCACTTTCCCCACTATACTTCCACAGCCTCCAAGTTCATAACCTTTAGGTCTTCATCCCTGCCGCCTGTGCCCTTGAATTGTGCTTGCCTAGAAGGCCTTCCTGGCTCACTCGTTTCTCTAAGTAAGGCCATCATTTCCTTCAACGTTCGTGTCATCCCATAGTGATTAATCAACTCTCTCATGTGGCGATTCCTTCACCCTGCAACAAATTCTTACTGAACAGCCACCACACGTCAGGCACTGCAAGTACAGCAGTGAGCAAAACACATAAAGTCCCCGGCTTCATGAAGCTTATCCTTTCATGGAAATAAATAATATAACAAGTAAGGATTTCATTCTACGGAAGATGGTAATAAGTAACCTGGAAAAAACTAAAGCAAGGAAAGAAGAATGGCAGGGGCGGGGCGGGGCGGGGGGGGAAAGAAGTAGGGGAAAATGGACTCACTAGGGTGGTCAGAGAAGGCCTCATTGAAAAAAAGGTATTTGAGCAGAGGCCTGAAAGAAGTGAGGCAGTGAGCCATGTGGCTATCTGGAGCAAGAGGTTTCCAGGCATAACAAAGAATAAATAAAATACCCTGAGATGGGGGGCATGCTTGGCATGTTCAAGGTCAAGCAAAGAGGCCAGCATGGATGGACTGAGGTGAGGGAGAAGTCAAGTCAGAGAGGTGGTAGGGCCAGTTCATGCTGGACCTCTGTGGGCCATCATAATAGCTCTGGCTGTTCATCTCAGAAAACCATCAGAAGATTCTGAATGGAGGAGTGAGACTGATTTAACTTAGTTCTCAAAAGGTTCACTTTGGCCACGATAAACTAGAATCAAGTGGAGGCACATAGGTAGAGGCAGGGAGACTAGCTAAGGAGCAAGTGTAAGAAATGAAGCAATCTATGGGTTGGTGGGGGGTGGCTATGGGGAGATACTGTTCAAGGGAACCATGTGTCAGTTATGCAGGGTAAGTTCTGCAGATCTAATGTACAACAATGTGACTATAATTAACAAAAAAAATAACTATGGCTCAGATCGCGATGGTAACAGCATCAAGGGTGGTGAAATTCTGGATATACTTTGAAGGTATCAGCCAAGAGGATTTGCTGATGAAGTAGACATGAAGTGGATAAGAAATAAGAGTCAAAAATGACTCGAAGGCTTCTGATCTGACAACCAGAAGAATGGAGTTATGTGCTGAGATGGCAAAAGACTGAAAAATGAACAGACCTGGGAACACAAATTTTTTTTTTTTTAAAGATTTTATTTATTTATTTGAGAGAGAGAGAGAGA